ATTCGAAAATTTGTTTATAGGCTTTGCACCTTCATTATTTAACTTAGTTCCTCTTTTGTTCCAGACAGTCATCCTGCAGATTGAGTCTTTAGGATGAAGTTCAATTTACAGAGTCTATTTCCCTGATAGAATTTCACCAGATTAGTGGAGATTTATTTAATTCTTTCCACATTATAAACATTGTGGGAACTAGTATCTGTAAATTTTTCCAATAAAATTACTTCATTGACATAATAAATTTGATTTATATTTTATTCACCAGAATGGACTGTTCCCTTAGATTTAGTTAGTATTTTTCCAATGAGCAATATATTTTCTTTTGCATTATACTTTTTATTAATTATTGCATGTAAAAGACTAAACTAAAACTTCCATATATGTTTTATATCACTTCTTAGAGTGACACGAAAATATTATATTTGAAATAGTCCAAAATTAATGAAGTATAGACTTTGCCCCAAATGATAAATGCACAGACTCTTTACTCATTTAATGGGTATAAATTTCACATGTATTTTTTATTGTCTTAATCATATTATGAAAGGAATTTCCCATGGCACTATGTTCATTTCTTTGATATGTTTACTTTTGTGAAACAAGAGGGGGAAAAAACAGCATACAGAGCTTTCTCCTCTCTGCGGAGGGAATTTTGCTTAAGTAGCAAAAACATGGAGGGAGGGAAATTATTATTCTCTTTGTACATATATAAAAATTGGTAATTTAAGAGATTGAGAAATTCAAGTCATACAATGTGATGGCTAGAACCAGGACAGGAACTAAAGGTTTCCGTGGCTCTATATACAGGTTTCAAGCTCCAAGAAGTGAATTAATAAATAATTTCTGGCTTATGGAGAATGCTGTGGCACTTTCCAAAAGAAGAGAACAAGAAAGCTCAGAATGAGAAAAATTAGATATAATGCAAGAAGAGGAAGACTGCATCTAACAACCCAATCCAGTGAATTGAACAGAGTTGTAGACTTTGAAGAATTGATAGTCATTACCTTTTATTGAAAGACTCTGATGGCAAGAAGTACAAATGAAGTAAATAAGTAAATGAAAATATGCCTCAGTACAGTTAACAGCTTAGAGTCACAAGACAAAGGAGTAGTTGGAATGTTTTACACATTTGTGCAAATAAGTAAGAATGAGAAGCATCTCTGGAGGGGCCGCACCCACCTTGAGGCAGTATATAAGTCCAGGTGTGGCTGGTGATACTCATTCTCAGGAAACGCACCTTCAATATCAAGCCGAATCCTCAACCCCTGCCACAATGAGCTACTATGGCAACTACTATGGTGGCCTTGGCTATGGCCTTGGTAGTTTGGGTGGCCTGGGCTATGGCTATGGCTCCAGCTATGGTCTTGGTGGCTATGGTGGTTATGGCTATGGCTACTGCCGTCCTTTCTATGGAAGGTACTGGTCATATGGATTTTTCTGAAAACAATCATTGCACAAAAACTCAGCTGTTATTTCACCAAGTGATTCCTTTGCAGTCATCAAGCTCACCAGTGACATCCAATGTCACCAATGATATCCATTGAAGAAGGCTTCATAGTGTAATCAAGAATGTATCACAATCTTCTGCATCAAAGGAGAGTTTTTCTCCTGATCCAGAGTTTTATCATGAGTAGCCTCATCCTGGCTGTTATCAACGTGAAGCTTCCTTCTGTATCCTTTGTGATATTTCTGGGCATATTCCCTAATAAACTTTTGTAAAAGAAATCTGAAGTCTTGTCTCTCTTTCCAGAGGTGGTACTGTCTTTATGAGTCTACTGTAAAGAATGATTAGCATTTTAGAGTTCAGAATTTTATAGTCCTTTCTATGATATATTTTTGTTTGTTTGTTTGTTCTCCAACATTATCCATGACATGTCTGAGACCTTGTTTTGGTTCAGTAAGAAAGTTATCACCATGCAAAAGGCACATTAATTTCAGTGGGGACTTATAGCTCGTACAAGAATTTCATCACTCAAGCTGCCTATTGTCCTTATTGCTGCAAAACTATATACCACTGTCTACCTAACCCTTCTGCAACAATTCTGGGGACACATTTTATTACAATTTTTTCATAGACCTATAAAACTTGACTTTATTTCTGTTTTATTCATTCCAGTACATTGCTATATAGTGTCTATATCTCCCAAAATTTATATGTTGAACCTTAACCCCTAACGTGATAGTATTTGGAGCTAGGCCTTTGGGGATTGACTAAGCCATGGAGGAAGAAATCTCATAAAAGGGATTAGTATCTCTATAAATGAGACCCAAGGGAGTCTCTGTCATTTTTGCTCTATGAAGACACAGCAAGAAGACACGTCTCTATAAAGTAGGAAGGAGTATCTTACCAAAGACCAAGTCTGCTTTTTCCTTGGTATTAGACATCCAGTCTCTAGAATTGTAAGAAATAAGTCTTTAATATATATATGTGTGTGTGTGTGTGTGTATACATACAGAGCTGGGGCACAGGCCAGAGGTGCAGGGGTGGTAAGAGGATTCACCAGAGACAGAGTGGGGAGCAGAACAGGCAGATCGACAAAGTGCACTGCTGACAGGAGTAGGAGGGAGACAGGAGAGGTCTGCTGCGCCATGTGGGTCACCTCCCTGTCTGGGGATGGAACTCATGTTGAAGTGGTTGTGGCTAGCTTGCAATGCTACTTTAACCCATTGCTCCACGAGGGAGGACCCTGAGTCTTTTTTTTTTTTTAATCATTCTATTATAGCAAACTAAACAGATTAAAGCTCCTCATGAGTTTTCTGTGTTTAAAAAAAATGAAACTTGCATCTCAAGATATTTTCTCCATGTCACTGAATTCATACCAACCTGTCCTTGACTATGAAGGCCATGGAAATTGTAATAACATATTGTAATAACATATTGATTAGTGCTATTTATTTTCACTCAGATCAGGCTGCTAGTCTTCTGTGATAGTCAATGGAACTAATTTACTTAGGCATTTGTAACTGAACGTACAATTGACTTGCCCTTTACTGTACATATTTTTGGTGTTGTGTGGATACTGCTCACACAAACTCATAAGAATCTATTTTGAGAAACTGTTTCCATCTCCACCTGTAGTGGTATCACACTGCTGCATTGAAAGAGGTCATGGGGAGCTTATTTACACAACAGCAATGAGCAAAGGCTACAAATTAGGATTTCAGCATTATCTAATGAAATTTAACCAATACAATATTCAGGGGGCTAGAATATTTTTTCTCTAAACAAATTCTGTTTCCTGCTTAAAAAAATAAATCATTACACCTGATAATTTTAACACTTGTATGTTAATTTATGGATTTTTTATAAAAGAAAAAAGCTTATTTGAGCTACCTGATGTAAGGGATTTGATGATTTTATTTCAAATGCAGCAATATGTGTATTGTCTAGCTTTGAATTTTAAACTCATATTTGCATACAAAGACTGATTTTAAGACACAAATTACATAAAATAAAAGGAAAAATTGGCTTTATGCATGTTTGGAACTGTGTTTAAATAATAAAGCTGAGAACCTGTAATGTGAAATTTAGTTCAGAAAGCACAAAGTTCATCTGTTGTCTGAACACTTTCACTGTGAATGCAAATATGTACTGGTTTCTTTGCAACCTTCAAGTTCAGGACATAAATTTCACTATATGACCAAAGTCTTCAATTTCTGACATGAGTTACTATGTTAACCATAACAGCCTTAAGTTGAGTGTTGGTTACCTGTGTCATGTGATGACTCCAGTGGTGGTGCTGGAGGCTGTGGTAGTTACGACTGTGGCTACTGTCATTTCCCCTATGCATGGAAGATTCTTCACTCTATTGATGGAGAGCACCTGGGTACTACTTTTTCAACAGATGTAGCTGATCTCCTGGCATCTCAAACCTGTGTCCTATAATGTGTTAACTCCATCTGCATGTTCTACTGCATCATGTATCTTGTATTTCATTTATTGTCTTTGATTTGTAGATAGTTATCTGGCTTCCAGTGTCAAAGAGAAACAACTGGCTAAGGTGGATGGGCAGGGAGGTTTTATTCAATATTACTGCAATATAGAGAAGAAAATTCATACAAATGAGCTCAATTCCAATCTATGCAGGGGAAAGCAGGTGTTTTTTGTTTGTTTGTTTGTTTTTAAGTGAGAAGGGAGTGTGATCATATTCATGGCATTCTGGGGCATCTTATGTTCATTTGATCTGGAGAAAAAGACACATTTTATGTTTCAGGAAAGGTGACGATTTTATAAGTTAGAGGATGACATCGCATGAAGTTAAGTCCTCTCTCCCACAGGTATTGGTGGTCTTGCAAAGTTTGGGGAGGTCATCTTTAGAAAAGTTGACACCCAATCTTTGACAACACACCTTTACTGTTGTGAAGGGTACATCTCAATGGGATGGAAAAGGGATTTTTACAATTGCAGTTTTGCAGTTTTTTTTTTTTTTAAGTAAATACTTCTAAGGAAAGAGAGATCAGCTACCTATACTCATACTCCAGGGGTGGTTGGAAGAAATAGAACATTCTTTTGGTATCATTTAGAGGGAGGCTGAACCTTTCAGTTCTTGTAGGCAAAGGTTGAGACTTTTTTCAGAAAAGAGCTCAGTGGAGCTGGAATGAAGTTTTGTTGAGGATAGAGCAAGCCTAGTGATGAAGAGTGTATACTTGTGAATGAGTATCAGTGCAGTGGTGCTGATAGTCTTATGTCTCAAAATGCTCATGGATTCACTATCAGGAAAATGTTCTACTTAGTAACACTATCACACCATTCTTAAGTCAGTGTGGAGCATGTCAATTAACAAACTTAAGTCCTTAGCTCACATGGCAAAATGTTTCATTTGTGTTCATCCTTTTAGGTGAATTTCCTGCATATAAGGAGTTTTGAATTAAAATATCATTTCAAAATTCTCATGAAGATTTTCCACATATTATTATTATTCTTAAGAACTATTATGACCAAATAATTTAAAATTAATCAGAAAAATACCTTCTTATCTTTACATGTTTATTCCTTGAATGTCTCAGTACTTTCACTTTTTTTTTAAAAAAGATTTATTTATTTGTACAGAACTGGGGTATAGGTCAGAGGTGCAGAGGGTGAGAGGATTCGCCAGAGACAGAGTGAGGAGATGGAACAAACAGGCAGATGGACAAAGTACACTGCTGAAGGGAGCAGCAGGCAGGTCAAGAGAGGTCTGCTGTGCCATGTGGGTCACCTCCCTGGCCGGAGACTGACCTCGTGCTGCAGTGGCTGTGATAGCTTCATAATGCTGTGCTTTAATCCACTGTGCCACCAGGGAGGGCCCTCAGTACTTTTATTTTTTTAATTAATCTTTTCTTTCTTTTGAATGACTTTCCTTCTTAGAGTCTGAGGATCTTTAAAACACAAGGTCAAATTCTACTTCCTCTATAGAATCTAAATAAGTCTCCTTATTAATTATACATATCAACTTCCTGTATACTTGGTTGTATCTTATTTTTACTTTTGTAAAGACTATAGATAAGTAAGTGCATAGATACATACATACATAACACAGACAGTTTAGAATGAGGTAAGAGTGCAGGTGGAAAAAACAGAACAAAGCACCATAAACATAATAATATTTTTGCTATGATAATCAGATTAGAAATGAGAAAATGTTTTACTTGCAAATGCAAAGAATGATTTTAGTAGAAATGCCTTAATTGTTTTTATTACCTTTTGATATAAGACAATGAAGTAAAATAACAGAAGAATCTAGTTTATTATTATTTTTCATACTACCTTTAAGTATAAATATGCTGCTGTTGTTAATGTTGTACTGAAAAGTGAAAATCAGGGGTTTCACATCTAAAGTATTTTGTTACTGAAATATTGAAACATGAATCAGAAAATAAAAACTAATATACAACACAAGAGAGTTGAGACAAACTCATGACAAAAATAATAAACACACATATTGTTAAAAAAGTTTCCTCTTGTTATATTCAATCGATTACAGTTTCATATAATACTGTAACTTTAATGAATAGCTAAAAGATGTCTGGAACACTGAAGAGAGAGAAATAATATACATAACTTACTCTGGTAACAGAATAGGTGGCCCAGCATTGGACTGAGTCAGGAGACACTCTCAGGTAATGTAGCTGGACAGCTGCCCAGTGCTTCAAAGCCTGACATTGAGTTGACTTGGAGGATTAAGTCATGGTTGGCTTCTCCTGGTCCATCAACTCTTCTCATTATGGGAACAAGAGGTTTCATGATAAGCAAGCTCAGCAGGAATATCAAATTAAAAATTTAAACTTTCTTAATAGGCTCTCTTCTAATTAAGGAAAGAATAGTTTAATTAGATCTCTATAGTAGACTAGTCTTGATTTTGAATAAACTTGAAGTAAATCAGCATGGTTAGCTTCATCTATTACTGAGAGTGTATAAAAGACTCTGCAGATTTAAATTCACCTGCAGAGGAACTTAGACAACCCCAACTATACCCACAAGTCTGGTTGTGACACCAGTTGCTGTTATGAATTTGATGACAGTGATCAGTTCTCAGGTACTGGATGTGATTGGGGAAGCCTCTGTGGTTTAGACTGTGATTCTAATGTTAGTGGTCTGGTCTTTGTCTCTGGTCTCAGGAGATGTGGATTTGTTATCTCTTGAAAGATAGTGTTAATTTTTTCATGATTCTGTAATATAAGTCATGATATTGAATCTCTCATGTACTTTAGGTTTCAGATGATACCTTATTTTTCAGTTTGAAATAACAGCAAATGGGAAAGTGATAACACTAATTTCATTTTACTGCAGTCTTTGCAACTGTGGCAAAACAATCTATTAAGTAATTTCCTATTAAATAATTTTGAGATTTAAAGATCCAGCAAGGGGAGAGAAATTCTTGAGTTTGGATTGAGACTTACCATTCTTGGAAAATGAGGATATGAAGTTTATATTTAGAAAAGCATAACTTAGCAGGAAGATGTGGTATATACGCACAAAGGAATACTACTCAGCTTTAAAGAATTCAAACTCATGTCATTTATGACAGTATGGTTGGAGCTGGAGGGGATTGTGCTAAGAAAAATAAATTAGAAGAAAGACAAATACTGGAGATGTCACTTACCTACAGAATGTAGAGGAACAAAGAGTTCGATAAAACCAAGCCAGTAGCAAATCCTAGAGTTTTGACTATACAAATAAGGCCACCACAGGGGTAGGGAGAATGGAGAGAACAAAGTGGGGATGGAGCTCGGTGGACGATGGTGGAGGACTATAGTGTTTTGGTGGTGGGTTGATGTGATGAAAACACCTGGAAAATTGTACCTTAATATTCCATCGAATAAATAAAAATGTGCACCTTAATGAATTTATGGCTGAAATGCAGAATCTCTTCACCTATATGACTGCCAAATACCCTGCCTGCCACATTGGCAGAGATTTTTGTGTGCAGTGGATCAATGAAAAATACATTGATGCAATAAGAATTGTTAAACATAGATTTAATGTGCTAGGTATTTAATGGTTATAATAAATCCTACATAGACTATCAAATCTCACCTGGTGCTTACATAGAAGTAGTAAAGTCTGACCCATCACCAGGTATCTACAACAAAACAAGCTATTATCACTGGTGGAGAAAATCCAAAGATGGGCTTTCAAATAGATGTCTAAATGGAACTACATGTTTTACTTTAAAAGAAAAATGATAAAATCATTCAGTGGATTAGCATAGCTATCTCAACACATGAACTCAGAATTACAGGGAGTGATAGTCTCTCTTTTTACTTTTGAGACTTACTGAAGATGTCAGGAAAGAAATAAAAATATTATTTTAAAATATGATTGGAATCATGTGGCCCTTGAAGACAGAGTATGAAAATATGTTCTCAAGATGAATTTGTGGTAGAATTAAAACTTAATACTACTAATTAGGAAATAGTGATTGATCCATCAAAGCCAACCTTGTTTTAATAAAATTGAGATTCTCCTACATAAGGGAAAGCAAATTACAAGGTTTTCCCATACATAATGAAATGTATTGTGTATGCTGTTTGGTATAAACATTTTACATAGAGTACCCAAGGCTTGTTACACCACTGAAGATGCTTAAATGTCTTTAATGTTCAAACCTTGACTCTATATCATAAACCAGCTGAGACCTACCTAGAAGGCAGTTCTAGGACTCTGGCATCAGTGGCCAGTGCTGTTGCTATCCCTGTGGATGAGGGAACTTGTAAGAACAGAGTATGGATGTGACTTTGTGCACAGTGATTATGGATACGAATCTGCCATCCAGTTTGATATGGATAAGATTACAACTCTGGTTTCTGCTAAACTGTAGGACATAAGACTCTTGGGAATTTCCCCACAATGAAATCTGACTTTTCAAATGTTTCCTCTATTAAATCTATTTCCAGCTCTTACCAAACAGAGAAGATGAATTACAGATTTACAAGCTAGTTGGCATAAGATTGAAGAGCTGTCTGCAAATGTACAGCTGTTCAATAACAAATTTTGACTTATTCCATAAATATTGGATATTTTTCTACAATAGTTAGGCTTTCATTCTCCAGAAACTAATTTTTCATCTGAAATTTCTTTAGTGTATTTTATACTGGCAGAGATATCTATAATCATTTTCCAATAAATGTGTCTAATATGGAATAACAATATGATCTTAACTTTAGTCATTTATCTTAATAAGTTTCCTGTTTTATGATATCTGAAATGAAGGGAACTATTCCCCTTCCTGAGGATACCATTTATCCCTATTATTAAGTCAGTGAAAAACAAATATATTTATTTTGAGATACTGTTGGTCTTTTCCAGTTTGTTCTTCTTTCCTTTTTCATATTTATGAGTCAAAATCCAGACTTCCAGCCCTAATCCTTATCACTCATCCTTGAACATACTTACTTGACAGTAAATGTGGCTTAGATGGCTTTCTGATCCTTAGTAAAAACTTATATTGGCGGGAACTCCGATTTATGGTAATGATTTTGGGTGTTAAAATCCCTGGCTGAGGTTATGGTTATAAATAGTCTGATTATAACTTTAATTTATTTGACCACTTAGCTGATGGTTACTTTCAAAGTATTGTCATATCCATACCATTCGGAATCATACATGGGAAATGGATAGCGCGTGGCTGTGTGAGTTTCATCTTGAACCACTGAACTGAAGAGTCTGCTTTTCTATCAGTCTGTTACTTATTTTCACTTGACTATTTGTTCATAAGTTACTTATTTTCACTTGACTAGTTGTTCATAAGTTATTTGTATAGGGTGAGGGCAAATTCATCTGCTTATTGCTCAGAACTTTTGGGGACTAATCTTGTGTTCCCAAATCTTCACTATGTCCATTTTTATTGCTTTAAGTTAAAAATGTAACAAAACCTTTATGTACTGAAACCTTATACTTGTACTCTTAGGAATCTATCATAATGATATAATTGCAATGGAGACATTATATTGGACATCAAATTAAAAATCACATTAAACACCTTTAAGTTAGCTTGATACTTGATTTTATGTAAATCATAATTAATCTAAATCATGGTTGATTGTAGGTAACTGAAACCCTGGAAAGAAAAACTTCCAGGTAGTGGTGATATTATAGTACAAACATACACACACATTATGTGTATTTAATGTATCTGTATGCATAATATATATTTATGTGTGTATGTTAGACATTGTGTTTGTGTGTATATGCACACAATCCATCCTGGATTGAGTTTGTTTTCTACAACAATCAGTGTAAAATTAGTCTTATTTCTTACTTAAGTAGTTGCTAAAATTCACTATTAAAATTATTCAGACCTGGAGTTGTCTTTGTTAGAACTCTGCTTTTAAAAATTTTCTCATGAAAAGTAATCTTATTTTTTCTTCCTGTGTTGGTGCTTATAAAATTTTTATTTTGAGGAATCTGTTAACTGTTTCCATTGTACTGTTGGTAATTCAGTATTGAGATCAGTGCTGCCCATGTGATATTAACAGGGCATTTGGACAATCAGGAAAATTTATTTCAACTGCATTAGTTCTGTGTAGGGTGTACCTAATACCAGCGTTTTGATTGATCAGTATACATAGTATTGACATAGTTCAATAGTCCCAAACTTGTGATTGTAGAATAAAGTAATGACCTATCTTGTGACTTTCTAAAATATAATAATAATCTTGTAATTACGTGGTAATTAATCCCTCCTCAAAACAACTTCAAATATGTCTCTACTCATTAAGTAACATGTTCTCAAAAATAAAACACCTTGGTATTGGGCAATGAAATATCAAACACTCCATTAATATTACATAGATTTTATATGCAAAGTCATAGCATATATTATATATTTTAATAACAAATATATTTTTATTATATATGTAAACATATTTTAGGTATATTTAGATATACTTAATCTAAATATTTTAATGATATATCTAAATTTTGCAAATTCTACCATTTTAAACATATGTGTAATCCCAGAAATTTTACTGTGATTCCAGTTGCCTGCATTTTTATTCATCTACCTAATTCTGTATGAAAACATAAATCAAGCTATTTCTATTTCTATCTCTCCAGCCATTATTATACTTATGGACCCCAGTTCTAAATTATCAGACTGCCCTCTTAAATATTTTGAGGTCATGATCATTGTAAAAAATATCAACATTTATTTTATTGGGGTGATAACTGATTTTGACTAGACTTAAATACGGGACAAACAATATTTATTCTCTCTTCTAAATTTTCAGGTGTCCTTTTTAGAAGGCAGCATCAAGATTTCAAATATTGCTTGTCAAAATTTTAAAATAAATTCGAGCTGGAGGAAAAATGAGAGACACTATTAGCAAGATCACTGCCACATTGGCCTCAAGGACACAACAGTCAAGTAGAAGTTGCTAGTATCTCAGTATTTTTAAATATTTTCTATCTCAAGGCAATATGGTTCCAAGAAGCAAGCCAGCACAGTAACATTAATACCCTGCATGCGTCAAGTAATGGGAGGTAGTAATCATGGAAGACAGAGAGCCAGCCTAAATGGAGCCGGGGAGTCTTCAGATCTTGGTTGCCAGCACGTGGATGTTGTTTCCATTCTCCTGTGTCAAAGGAGGTGGTTTTTATGTGAATGCTGATGTCTGTTTGGTCTTTGAAGTTGCAAATAGTATTTCTCATTGTAGACATAATTTAATCTGAGGAATTCTAATTGAGTTAAAATCCATTTAAAAATTTTACTGATATGAAGATTACTCGATCCATAATAAACAAAGCAAAAGGACCAATCCTTTTGTCTCATGAAAGTCTTCTGAGGAGTAATAACTAGGGAGCTCTGGGTGATTTACCACACCCAGAATTTTGGGTATAAAAGCCTCTGCACATGAGTTGAGCTTTGTATTCAGGACACAAACCTGCAGCTGCAAACCACGTTTTCAATTCCTGACACCATGAGTTACTACGGCAGCTACTATGGAGGCCGAGGCTACGGCTATGGTGGCTTTGGTGGCCTGGGTTGTGGCTTTGGGTGTGGCTATGGCTATGGAGGTTATGGAGGTTATGGAGGCTACGGAGGCTACGGCTCTGGCTTTGGGGGTTACGGATACGGCTCTGGCTTTGGGGGCTACGGGTGTGGCTGTTGCCGCCCATCTTGCTGTGGAGGTTCTGGCTTCTCCGGCTTCTACTGAACACTGTCCCAGGATTCCCTACTTCTGTACCATGAACGAAATTACCAAAGACATCCTCCCACCATTGGACTGAGGTTACTCGAGGTCCATTTAGCAAGGCAGATGTAAGGGTTGCAGAGAATTCACATTTATCAGCTTGTATGCATCGCCTCTCCTGGTTTCTTCAGCTTGGCTACTAACAGACGATGAATTGCTGAATTTTCAATAAATGACTTAATTTGAAATTGAAAATATGACTTTTTGTGGTTCATTTAACTCAGTTATGTATACATACTTTTGCAGATTTTACTGTTTTTCAATTAGACATACAATGCACACAATGATTTATGCATGTGTGCATCTATATGCAAATATATGAAAAAAATCTCATTTGAGAATGAGTAGTTCAGAACAACGGAAAACTATTTTTTCTGTTTTATTTACATAAATCTTAGGTTGATTTTGACAGCAAAAAAAATCAGCTCTCGAGTTTTAAATCTACATGAATTTTAAGAAAAACAATTATAATTATTTTATGTATTTCATATCTTATCAATTTCTACATCTCAGTAGAACTGAAAATCTAGAATTATTTACCTTTAAGCATTTTGACCTTTTATATATTTTCTATTATAAAGTGTTTTAGATATACCTGTTTATATATACAGATATGTCAAGTTGCCATATAGTAATATAATTAAAACTATATTTGGAGCAAACACTCCCTCCACAAATCTAATAATCCATATTTTTGCATTTTAAAGAAAACAAGCTCTGTTTTTGAAGAATCTTTGGGTTATATATTTTCTTCTTTTATTCATAATCTTCTGGTTTCCTCTAGTGTGTTTTATATATATAGAATATAACTGACCTAAAAACCTCTGATGCAACAGATAATATAATGTGAACTGGTAATTCAAGTTGCTCCTCTCACAAATGCCCCAACGAGGACATTGTTGTAATTCAACCTCACTCCCATCATCACCAAGACCTCGGTCTAGGGTTCTATGCTATTTATGGTCTATGTAGCATCACCATGAGCTGAGCAGGTGAAATAGAACTGATTTACTCATTATGTTCTCTTTGACTCAGTAGAACAGGGTTTTTATTTTCTTCTCATTTGATTAATAGTCCCATGGGCAGGTTCCATGGAGCTAATCCACACTATTCAATACAATTACTATTGCTGCTGATCGTCTTCATTTTGTGAACAATATAACTTTGTTCTGTCTAAGATTGTTTTTATCTACATATGAGATGGGAGGATTTTTTTTTTTTAATTAGTAGCAAGGTATTTCTATACTGCCAGAGAAAATGTGAGAACATTTTTTATTAATCAATTAATATCAGTAGAAAGTTTGATAATGAGTTAAATTCTTTTAAAAATGACAAAGCGATCTCTCTGGTGGCCTAGAGGTAAAGTCTCAGAGCTACCACCACTGTAGCCTTCTGTGGTGGTCTGGGTTCAATCCCTGGCCAGGGAGTGACCCACATGATGCAACAGACCTCTCCTGTCTCTCTGCTGCTCCCCTCAGCAGTGTATTTCAGTCAGTCCACCTGTTCTGCTCCCCGCTTAGTCTGTGCTGAATCCTCTCACACCCACCTCAGACCTTTTAAGGAAAAGTAAATAAAAATCTTTAAAAAAATGATCCAAGCCTGAAGGGGAGGAGAATAGTGACCTCTAGCAAATTTTCAAGGCGACTTTTTCATTTCTGAATATGGAGAAAGTATAGTTGAGCCTTATTTTTTTTTCCACCATTTTGTTGTTTTCTTGTTTAATAACTAGTAGACTCTTGAGTTCTACATACATACTTTTGTGTTTTCTACTTTGAAAATACATTTCTGATTTACTAGTCTACTATTGTTTTTGTTTTATCTCACATTGTCTCCACTTGAGACAGTACAAACAACAGAGGACTTAATCATGGTCACATGTTCTGACTATGCTACACAAGAAGAGCATGAAGTCTTTGCTGCTATGTCACTGACTCATGATTTCAAAGAATTCATTAAAACTGAAAATATCCATTATATCAATTGGCTGATTTTCTAAAGTAGGCTAAAAGTTGAATGAAGTTTTGTTAGAGTAGCATGTAATTAAAGATCAATGTTGACCTAGGTGTCATCATGAAGCCAAGGAGCTTATTGAAAATTTTATCAGGCTTAGAACATTTCCAAAAATAGCTAGTGAGTTGCTCAAATTATCACCTGCATAGTTCAGGAATTCATGTGATTTAAAATAATCTATTCATGTAAAAATTATTGTTGAGTGCTAATAAATGTTAGGTTTTTGTGTGTATGAGAAAAATAACTAGACCAGGTCATGCAAAGCCTCCATTGAACAAAAAAATGTCATCCAAATATTAAATTGTGTTAATTTAGATCACTTAAAATATTTTATTTTTGTAAATAATTGTATTGGGATAATATTGAATCATGAAATTATATACATTTCACATGTAGACCATTATTAGTCAATACCTATAAAAGGCTTTAAATTGATCAATAAAAATTCAGTGCTCTTCTTCACACCTACAATTGACCCATTTGGTCCTACTTTTCCATTCATTCCCCCACCCCACTGCTTCTTATACCTGTTATTTTATTTTTTTTTGTTTGTTTTTAAAGGTTTATTTATTCATACAGAACTGGGGTACAGGCCAGAGATGTGGAGGGTGAGAGGATTCACCAGGGACAGAGCGGGGAGCAGAACAGGCAGATCGACAAAGTACACTGCTGAGGGGAGCAGCGGGCGGGTCAGGAGAGGTCTGCCACGCCATGTGGTCACCTCTGGGGCAGGCGAGAATCGAACTCATGCGGAAGTGACTTTAGCTCTTTAGTGCTGTGCTTTAACCCGCTGTGCCACCAGGGAGGGCCATACCTGTTATTTTGGTGTTTTCGTCTAAAAGTTATCAAATGTTATTTAAGTCTCAGCAAAAGCCTAGGAATGTGATCATATGGTTAGGAAATTTTTTGAGTCATAAGTTCAAGATATGTCCACATTTGCAAGGTCTTAAGCAGGCATGGGGTCAGCTTTGGTTATCAGTAACTATTTGGGAAAAGGTCAGGAACTCTAACAACTACACTAAACACCTCTAAGATCAACTTTGATTTCCCTGATCTTTGACAGTCATGCCGAATATTTGATCCAGCAGCTCCACTTCTGTGTGTCTATGTGATTAATGCAAAAGCACACATTTGAAGGGCTGTTTCCACTCATATATTCACTGCAGCACTACTTATAATAGCCACATAATAGCCACCTAAGTGGTCAAAGACAGATGAGTGGATTAAGAAGATGTGATACACACACACACAGAATATTACTCAAAAAATAAAAAAAGGAATTCTTTTCATTTGCAACAATGTGGATGGAACTAGAATGGATTATTATTAAGAAAAATAAACCAGAAAGAGAAAGAAAAAATACTGATGATTTCACTCCTGTGTGGAATAAATAGAAACAAAAAGAAACCCTAAGAATCCGACTGTAAAACTAAGGGCAATGGAGAGGGAGAGAGAAGGGTTTGAGAGGTAAGGAGGGGGTGCACAAAGCACCAAGGTAGAAGACTGGGTGCCATGGTATGGGGTGTGGTTGGTGACATACACCTGGAACTCGGGATCCTGGATTTCTGAATCATATGCTACTTCGGAAACCAATTTTAATAATAATATAACTCTCTTACAAATAACAGGTGATGATAGGAGTTGGGGTAACAATACTGCCAAGCTCTGATCAAGGTCTACTTCAATTCTTAAAGAAGTCTAGTTAAAAATGGTCTGAAGTAAAATAATGGATACCGTTTAGACAAAGAGATGGTATGAGCAGCAGTGTTATTTTGACTATGGAGATGTTGGAAGGGCCGCAGTGCTGCCTTGAGTTTATACTGCTGCAGACTTTTGGTTGACTGCAGTAATGAGTCATGGAAGAAGAACACTGGGCGATGTTTTAAGAGAGACTTGAACGAAAATGTGCAATTGACAGATAGATGACAGAGGGCAGAGAGGGGAAGCGCAAAGGGGAGTGGATGTGAGGATAAAGTTCATTTGTGGTAGCAGTGAGATTAGGCTGAATGGATGTAGGATTAGAAAATGAACTGGGGGAAGTCTTCGCATTAGGAGTTTTGATCACTGTTATTCTCTCTGCTTCTGACTCCAATTTGTCATTTATGGAAAACATGTGCTATATTTTCACTGTATTAAGGTAATGTTGACTTCGACTTTTGTTTGTTTCGGGGAGCACAGGATTCCCCCATTCAGGTGTTGTTAGCGTAGTGAACCACCCCCAAAGAACATCTCTCCACCACCATAGTCCACGGTGCTCCCTCCACACTTTCTCCTTGTCCTTCGCTACACCCTCCCCTGGATGCTTCGATTCTGTAGTCTCCATTCAAGGTCCAGATTTTGAGTTTGCCTTTAATCAGCCTTCGTTTGGTTTCTGTAGATTCCATATGTAAGGGACACCAACTTGTACTTGTCTTTCTCCTTCTAACTTATTCACTTATTAGAACCAAAACAAAAGTGGTAGTATGCAAAGCCGACAATAAGTCAATGAATTGTGCGCTCAAAACCAAGTAACTTTTTTCTTTGGCCATGCACAGGAAGTGAATCAATTCTTCTGGACACAACTTGTTCTTTTTTCTTTATTCCTTTGCTGCAACATACATTCTTTTTGAAGAAACTAATAAATTTGAGAGTCTCAACCTTGTTCCTTGATATCTTGTGGACACAATTGTGTAACCACTCCCCATAATTCCTGTGCTTAGAAGATATTTCATCAGAAATGCAATAATATTTAATGAGACTTCTGTTCACTGACTGGCAATGAAGATGTATACCGAAGGTGGTTATGTCAGTGTTCTTCTTAGAAAGTTGAAGCAGCATGCTGAAGAGAAGCCTAACCAGATAGCCAAGTTAGTTCCAACATTCTTTGTGAGGGTTGTCAGAGAACAACAGACTAATGAGTTGTGTCAAGCGCGGATAATTTGCAGCATGATACCCTGGAAGGGCATGTGTTCTAGCAAGTTCTCTGAGCAGAGTATATAAGCCTCCCTGTAGGAGTTGACAGTCACAGTCTGATTCTTGCCTTGAACAGCAAACTCACCACTCGAGACACCATGAGCTACTACGGCAGTTACTATGGAGGCCGCGGTTACGGCTATGGAGGCTTCGGGGGCTTCGGTGGCCTGGGCTGTGGCTGTGGCTGTGGAGGCTACGGATATGGCTCTGGCTTTGGAGGCTTTGGAGGATATGGGGGTTATGGGGGTTACGGCTCTGGCTATGGGGGCTACGGATATGGCTGCTGCCGCCCGTCCTGCTTCAGAGGATACGGATTCTCTAGCTTCTACTGAAATTATAAGCAGAAAGGGCCACTCCCAACATGTTTGATTCTATCTTGTGCTTTCATTCCTCAAACATCCTTTGGATGCTCTCCACAATAAATCGATAGCTATTTATCAATGGCTAAACTATTTCTACAAGTATTTGATTTCTTTGTACGTCACAATCTGCCATCTCAATATATATATATATATATATATA